TTCAATGATATACTCCCCTCATTCTACGCCTCTCCAGAGAGTGGAGATTTAAGGCTATCATATACGAAGAGATTCCTACACAGTAATCTTCATTTTAGTCCCATTCTTTCTCTGTATGTTCTCTTAATGGGTCTAATCCATCTTTATAAGGATGACCAAAACTGCAGCAGACATAATCTAAATGAGGCCCCACTATGATGAACATAACTTTTGGACTTCTGTTATTTATACTTCTTGAGATAAATCCAAGTAAGTCTGTTGGCCTTGTTGCGCAAAACTTTTGGCCTTGATTCTAATATTTTATTTGGCCAAGCCTAAGAGCTGTTACCCTCACATCACTCATTTTGGAAAGCATTTTTATTGGTTATGAGACATATAAGTAGGGAATAGGATGAAGTTGGAGCCATCTTAGGCCAGCATTTTCATTTGATCAGACTGACTTTACATCTCGTCTTGACATCATTATGCTGTACGAATGTGTTCCATACGAGTCATCCAGGTGTATATAGGATCTCAGATGGAGAGTAGATGTTACTGGAGAAGGGTACAGCCAGAGTGAAGTTTGCGCCTTTCCTGCCCGTCTTGTGGCATAAAGCTGTTTTCACGCTGTCCTCGAAGTGGATCCAGTGTGGTACTTGACAATATTGGCCATTGTACATAAACATTAGGCACCACATCTCTCCTGTTTGAAGGTCCTACTGCTGAAATGACAGTCTATCCGGACGGGTCCGGGCGAGAGATGAGACGTCTTGCTCTGTTCTCTACTCTGTCAAGCAGTCGCACAAAAGAGGGAGGGGGGGGGTGGGCAAACCAAGAAAGGGGAGCATACAAAAAGGGTGTGAGCGTACTTGTGCCTCGTACAGAATCTTGCAACCCCTACTGCCCAAGCAATGCGAGATACGGCGAAGTGCTGTAAGCTTCCTGGCTGCCTTGTTTACAAGATTTACAACATGGTTCTTCATGGTTAGTTTGGAGTCAGATTTCACCCCAAGGATTAACTTCTTTCCAGGGCCAACACCCCCCATTCATCCTTACTACTGCACCAGCATTACCATCATGGTGCCTAGAGACGACCATCATTTGCGTTTTCTCAGGTGCAAATGTTACTTGCCATCTATTTCCCCAAGCTGATATAGCTCTTAGCTGGTGATTGATGTAGCTTAGAGCAGCTGGCATTTCTTCTCTTGGATAAGTGAATGTCAGTGTACAATCGCCCTGCATATGCATGTGATTCTGGGATGAGAGAAGAAGGTCGTTAAAGTAGACATTCCATAACAATGGTCCCAGCACGCTTCCTTGGGAACACTTGCCCGAATAGGATGTCTGCTGATTCCGTCCATTGAGAACTACACTTAGAATCTCCCATGAAGGTAATCACTGAGGAGACATAGCGTAGAGCCTGCAATTCCCAGTGCTTGAAGTTTTGCTAAGAGGCCCTGGTGCCACACCCGGTCGAAAGCACCAGCATGTCCAGTTCTACCACACAAGCTGTTTTTTGGATTCATCCAGTGACTGTGCCAACTTAGTGGAGGGGTTTTAAACAAAGATCAGCAGCAGAGAACCTTTCCTGAAGCCATATTGACGATCACAAAGTAGTGAGCGGTTGTCAAAAAGCTCTGTCATTTGTCTTGAGATTATTGTCTCAAGGATCTTACCAGTGATTGACAGAAGTGACTGATCTGTAGTTGCTGATTTCTGCTCTGCTCTTCTTTTTTGTGAACAGGGACTACATTTGCCTCTTTCCATAGAGAGGGCCTTTTTCCCACGGGGACTGGGCAGTGCTGAAAGATGCGAGTTAGAGGTGCTGCTAGCTGGTCTGCACATTTTTCTCAGAAAATCTTGGGCTCAACTTGGTCTGGCCCATAGCCTTTCTTGGTCAAGCGATTTAAAGAAGGAAAATGCACCCCCTCCTGCCTTATTGTCACCACTGACAGTTTTGACACAGTTTTTGGCATCTAGCCAAGGAGGGTCCCTTGCTGGATCAGGAACTGCATTTTGGAAGCAAAGTGTTCAGCAAAGAGGTCCGCCTTCTCTTGACTACTAGTAGAGGTGGTCCCATCCTGTCGATTTAGAGGTGGAATGAGTCCATCAGGCAGATAACCTTGTCTGTCCTTGACCAGGGACCACCGGGTTTTTGGAGCCTACCTTACCTGATGCTAGCTTTCTTTAGTGCCCACCTCCCATTTAGCAATGGCCCACTTTGAACGTCACCCATATCCCTACAAGCTTGCCTGTGCAAGTTCCTGTTATAGGTGGTAGGATGTCTCTTATACCTTCGCCATGCTTTGTATTTAGCAGTACAGCCTCTCTACAACGAAAGCCAAACCAAAAGGGTGATCTGTAGGCTTCGTCACATATTGCCGATGAGGAATGTGTTCTTGTTGTAGATTAAGGATGTGTCCAGTGAGGCTTTCACTTGGTTGTCAACATCCCCTTGGAGAAGAGCCATTCCAATCGGGGGTGGCGAGCTCAGAGCAAAGGGCTGGCCAATTACCTCTTTCCCCATAGCCAGGTTGTGCGTGTGGACTCCTCACCTCGTTCTGTAGGGATCTTAAGTGTTCGTAAAAAACAGCCTTGTGGTTAGACGATCCAAAATAGCCGAGGGGTTGACAAGTGACTATGCCTTCTGCCAGATCACTCACTACTGGGTCAAGGGAGGAGCCAGAGATGTGAGTAGGGAAATCAACAAAGTTTCTCTCTCTCTCTCTCCCCTCTCTCTCTCTCTCTCTCTCCTCTCTCTCTCTCTCTCCTCCTCTCTCTCTCTCTCCCTTTTTCTCTTTTCTCTCTTCTCTCCACTCTCCTCTCTCTCTCTCTTCTCTCTCCCCCTCTCCCTCTCTTTTCTTTTCCTTCTCTCTCTCTCTCTCTCTCTCCATCTCCCTCCTTTTCATCTCTCTCTCTCTCTCTCTCTCTCTCTCTCTCTTCTCTCTCCTCTCTCTCTCCTCTCTCTCTCTCTCTCCTCTCTCTCTTCTCTCTCTTCTCTCACTCTTCTCTCTCTCTCTCTCTCTTCTCTCTCTCTCGTCCTCTCTCTCTCTCTCTCTCTCTCCTCTCTCTCTCTCTCTCTCTCTCTGTCTCTCTCGTCTCTCTCTCGTTCTCTTCTCTCTCTGTCTCTCTCTGTCTCTCTCTGCTCTCTCTCTGTCTCTCTCTGTCTCTCTGTTCTCTCTCTCTGTCTCTCTCTCTCTCTCTCTCTCTCTCTCTCTCTCTCTCTCTCTCTCTCTCTCTCTCTCTCTCTCTCTCTCTCTCTCTCTCTCTCTCTCTCTCTCTCTCTCTCTCTCTCTCTCTCTCCCTCCTCTTTCCCAGTTCTTATAAGACAGTAATATGAATAATATAGAACCTGATTTGCATACCAAAGGAGAAACTCACTGGACTGAAACAAGACTAACTAATTCTCACCCAATTGACTTATAATCCTCAGTCATCTGAGAGTTACACGTCCTCAGGGCGGCTCTTATTATAGACTCTTAGCTTGTGTAGCTTGTGTTATTATAGTTACTGTTAACTTGTATTATAGGTACTTTTAGCTTTATTGTAGTTGTTATGATTGCAGTCGCTGTAGTTATAGTTGTGGTTGACGTTGTGATTGTGGTCGTGATGAAATGGTTTTGAAAACCGACAAATTGAAGATTGAGACACTTATGCAACATACGGGAATCTTTACTGAGGAAACGTTTCGCCACACAGTGGCTTCATCTGTCCAATACAAAGCAGAAAGGTGTAAAGAGAGGAGGAGTTTGAGGTAATCAGTCCCTCAGCCTGGAGTCGATGTGTTCAGTCCATCAATCTTGTAGAAAGTACAGCATAGGGCCGTAGATGTGGCTTATATAATGTAGTCAGGTGAGGCGAAGCAGGAGGCGGGGTTGTGATTGTTGTGATCGTGGTTGTGGTTGTGATCGTGGTTGTTATTAAAGATATTAGAATTTGCTATTATTCCTTTTATACTTAATTATGCCATCAATATTGATCACCATCAATATTGATCGCCATCAGTATTGATCACCATCAGTATTGATCACCATCAATACTGACCACCATCAGTATTGATCAGCATCAGTACCGATCACCATCATTATTGATCACCATTAATATTGATCACCATCAATATTGATCACCATCAATATTGATCACCATCAGTATTTATCATCATCAGTATTCATCACCATCAATATTCATCACCATCAATACTGATCACCATCAGTACTCATCACCATTAGTATTGATCACTATCAATATTCATCACCATCAGTATTGATTACTAATACTTTGTATCTCCATGCTTCAGGTTGCTGTCAGGCTTGTGATCCAGGGCGGTGGAGTTAAGGCTGTCAGGTCTTTCACCCTGGCCTATATATGGCTTACACTGTGTGCTCCAGGCCAGACTATCAGGGTTACACAGTGTGGAGATAAAGACACTGTGTGCTCCATGCCAGACTATCCGGGTTACACAGTGTGAAGAAAGGAGTGACTATTTCCCGGTTACAGTGTAGAGACAGTAACTATACAGGTCAGTCGATGTTTGGGAGAAAAAATCATTAATTAAATCCGGGTTGCACTGTGCAGAAATAGTGACTATCAGGGTTATGCGTAGTAAAGATAGCGAGTGAATATATCCGAATTATATTGTGGTGGAGACAAGAGACTATATCAAGGTTATACAGTGTCAAAGTAGAAGTGACTATATCAAGATTACACAGTGTCAAAGAAGAGACTACATCAAGGTTACACAGTGTCAGGGTAAAAGAAACTGTATCACGGTTACATAGTGTCAAGGTAAAAGAAACTATATCAAGGTTACACAGTGTCAAGGTAAAAGAAACTATATTAAGGTTACACAGTGTCAAAGAAGAGACTATATCAAGGTTACACAGTGTCAGGGTAGAAGAGACTATATCAAGGTTACACAGTGTCAGGGTAGAAGAGACTATATCAAGGTTACACAGTGTCAGGGTAAAAGAGACTATATCAAGGTTACACAGTGTCAAAGAAGAGACATATCAAGGTACACAGTGTCAGGGTAGAAGAAACTATATCAAGGTTACACAGTGTCAAGGTAGAAGAGACTATATCAGAGTTATACAGTGTGAAGACAGCAAGGAGACTGCATCCAGGTTACATTGTGGAGACATAACAAGAGGCTATAACCTGGTTATGTACTGGCTTTACACTGATCTTAAGGTGATTATCTACGGGTGCTACAGTCGAGAGTCTGTATCATGTACACCAACAATTATACAGTAAAAATACAAGAAAATCAGTCGTGAAGATAGCATAAGAGAGATATGATAATTACATTTAAAGTGATTTAAAATATTTAAACGGTTTCTTAAACTTATTGAACAGAAAGAAGAGGGAAAATAAACACTAAAAAAATATACTTTGGAAAGAGGAAAGATTAAAGAGAAGAAAGTTGGAAGCAGAGAGAGGACAACAGGAGACTAATGGAGAGTCAGCAACATAAAACAGAGCCAGGAGTACTACTGTTTCTCCCTAGCTTCTGTTAACAG